ATGTCATAGAACATGATGCTTTAACTTCTTGGGCTTCTTAACCAAGTACTGTTTTTACATAATGTGTTTGGAAGATGCATTTCAATAAATATGTTTAATGTACAATATATATAAAAGTGCAGCGCTAAAAAAGTTATCATACATATAGGAAAAACACAATGATTAAATGTGAATAAAAATAGTCCCAGCAAAGGTGACTTGGAGTAAAAGTGCACACTAACCAGATGTGCACATTAAAAGTGTAATGTAGAGATCATAAGGCTCATGGGGTAATCATCAGAGTAGAAATGGTGTTCTCTTGGTCAGAGAGGATCCCCGGGTGGTGCAGAGCTGGGCAGGAAGAGAGACTCCTTGATAACCGAGAACAGAACGATGATGATCCGCCTGAAGAAAACGACTCCTCCACTGGGCAAAAAAACGTATCTGGAAAAAAGGTTGCTCCCTGGATTTGAGTCCCTGTAAGGCAGGGCTCAGACTTGGGGAGGTAGAAGCAGCACAAGAATCTAGTCAGTTCCTGTGCTAATATGCGTGTGATAACCGTGTCTATAAATCCTTGTATGCGAACTGCATGAACTCCTCCTGGATTTATAGTAATTGTATAATTTCCTTTTACAGGATATTTCAGGAGATGCATAGAGCCCCAGTGCTCTGACACCAGCTCTTCCAGGCCAAGAACAGAACCAGTCACCTTGCAAAGAAAATCCAAACTGACCCTGTTTAACAATTCACATTGAAAGCAGGGTTTAGTTTGCACACATTTCCAAATATATGTGTAAACTGCAGTGCCATTGTCAAGGCTCCTCTGTATACTACTGTGGTCCTTACTGCAGACTGGGGCTCTATGCATCTCCTGAAATATCCTGTAAAAGGAAATTATAGCACAGGAACTGACCAGATTCTTGTGCTGCTTCTACCTCCCCAAGTCTGAGCCCTGCCTTACAGGGACTCAAATCCAGGGAGCAACCTTTTTCCAGATACGTTTTTTTTGCCCAGTGGAGGAGTCGTTTTTCTTCAGGCGGATCATCGTTCTGTTCTCGGTTATCAAGGAGTCTCTCTTCCTGCCCAGCTCTGCACCACCCGGGGACCCTCTCTGACCAAGAGAACACCATTTCTACTCTGATGATTACCCCATGAGCCTTATGATCTCTACATTGCACTTTTAATGGGCACATCTGGTTAGTGTGCACTTTTACTCCAAGTCACCTTTGCTGGGACTATTTTTATTCACATTTAATCATTGTGTTTTTCATATATGTATGATAACTTTTTTAGTGCTGCACTTTTATATATATTTTCTTGTGAGGATTTTTTTGTTGGTTATCCTGTGTGCCTAGCTGCTTTAATTTCTAAAAAAAAGCGCTCACTTATTTCTTTATGTTTAATGTACAACATGAGGTTGTCTGCTTAATGTATCAGTAAAGTCCCATTAGGTTTTGTTTCTTTTTGTATTGCATATTAGAGATGAGATATACTTTCAGTCTAATATATTTGAAAATTAACAGACTGGCTGGACAACCAGAAGAAAACCTAAAAAAAAAGTAATGCAGCCATCACATCGAAGAATTAATAAGCTGCAAAATAAAAAAAAAAAAAAAAATTTGCTTTTGGATTGAATACTACTTTACCTATCCAACTCTACCAGCTGGCTGAAAAGAACACAGTGAAAAGTGTGTTTCCTTTTCTACTGTGTCCCAAAGATCTGGTAAAGCCCTACAAATAACATGTGATTCCAGCAGTCAGTTGCTGGTATTTCTTGGAAGTCAGTCCCCCACATGACTGACGGGATGAAAGCCACTCTCAGATCAGTCTAGAGTCTTTATGATCATTCCGATGATTTCAGTTTCATATACTGCAGCTTCTTAAACCTGCAACATGAGCTACACAACAGCCACAGGGTGTACACATTGTAAATACCTATTTAATAATAATAGCATGATATGCTTTCACTATGAGGGAGATTTACGAAAGGCCAAATCACACCAGTGCAATGATCTGCGTTTTAGCGCAGATCAACGAAAGGACATCTGAAAAACAATTTCCAATGTGTCCTATCCACACCAAAACTTTGTGTCAAAAAAGGTCATATGCTTTAACGCACGCTAAAATGCATGTCAACGGATGTCAGAACGTGACTAAAATGGATAGAAATGTACATCCATTTTCTTAGGGCCAGTTCACAATACAAAAATGCACTCCAGATGCATTCCGGATACATTTTTACTTACAGTTCACACCACACGGAGTTCAAGTGCAGTTTTGGTGCGGTTTGCCATGTTCCAGTATGGTTCTGTGCAGAAAAAAATGCAGCATGTTCTAATATTTTTTTTCTGCACCGGAAACTGACTGGAACTGACTGCACTAGTGTGAACCAGGGCAATTGGATATACATGAAAAAAAACACTGTGCATGCATTTTTGATACAGAAAAAAAGCACACTGAACTGCATCTAGTGTGAACTAGGCCTTAACATTTTAGCGCATGTCAGTGTGAATTGGTCCTAAAACCTAGAAGGTGATTGGTTATTATGCACAGCTCCACTAGAAAACTGTGTGCATCAGTTTTAGTAAACCTTCCCCCATGTGCTGTCCCATTAGGGATAGCAAAAACACATGCTTTAGGATCATTTACTTCTATTGCATCGGACGGTTTTGCTGTGTTTTCTGAAAGTGCACCAAAAGTCCTGCCTGTAGGACTTTTGATCAAGGCCATAATAAACATGCAACATGCTCTAGAGTCTCCAGTTATTGTTTTTTTTTCATGTTACATGAAGCATTTTCTGATCCTACAGTTGTGTCGGTGGGATGGAACTGGAAATTCTACTGGGGAAATCTCCCTACTTGGGAGTCCTGCAGAGATGAGCAGTTCAACCTGCTGTCAATCATACAAAATCCAACACCAGTTTGGGGGTAAAGCGTTTCTAAAATCAGCTTGAGTAACAGTTTGTTAAGGGCATAGTTGACTTTGGTGACCATGCTTGATGTTATAACCATTTTAAGAATAATTTTACATCCAGTTCACATTTGAGCGTTCGCAATCCCAAAAAGCTATGCACAAATGACAAAGCACACCATGCCTGTTCAGGTACTCTCTCAATAGCTCCAAAACACTGTGTGGTCTGGCGCGATACACCACAGCAAACTGCACCGCCGTAAAGCTTGTCGCCTGAAATAATGATAATGTGTGCATCGATTTATCGCAAGACAATCCAGGTAGAACTGTACCACGTTTTGGTGCAACTGAAAATGAACAGCACCTCAACAGTGTGTGGAGCGAGTTGTTTTGGAATGGCGGGCAGAATTTGGGCCTTAGGGCTTAAAGTGGTTTTAAAAGTTGAAGGATTTTTTTTCCTTTCACATTCAGTGCTAGTTTGCATTTGCATATGTGCAGTTTGAACCGCATGCAATCTGCATGACATGTAAGATAACATTGCTACCTATAGTGCCTGTTCACATAGTATGTCCAGTGCACTGGCAGCGCAGACTGAAAAGAGTCCTGTACGATTTCTGAGCAGTGCGGTCCAGTTCAGGTGCAGATTACAGGCTATTGACTTCTATGGGAACCTGATGTAAACCTGACATGAACCACTGAACCACTTCTGTGTCAATTAGCTGTGAAGCCTGAGCTTCAATCCACACTGCACATCTGTGAATCTGCTCTCAAAGCATTCTACGCATGAAGGTAAAAAACCTTCTGTGTGCTGCTCCCCCCACAGCCCATGCTACCCCCCAATACTTACCTGAGCCCAATCTCGATCCAGCACTGTGCACAGAAGCCTCGGCTGAATTTCAATACATGCATGACCAGCTTAAAGTGGTTTTAAAGACTGAAGTTTTTTTTAACCTTAATACATTCTCTGCATAAAAAGTAAAAAAAAAAAAAACCTTCAGTCCGCTGCTGCTCCCCCCCCCCAGCCCCCTTACACTTACCTGAGCCCAATCTCAATCCAGCAATGTGCACTAGAGCAGCAGCTCTCTCGGCTCACTCTCTTCTCATTGGCTGAGACACAGCAGCGGGAGCCATTAGCTCCCACGGCTGTCAATTACAGCCAGTGAGGGTGGAACGGGGGGTGGAGCTAAGCCACACAGTGTGTGTTTTATAGCCATACAGAGCAGACTTAGGAGAAAGCAGCTTGCTCTGAGAGCGCTCATCAGGGTGGAGGAGCCTGGAGCACCGGCGAGGGATCGCAGAAGTAGGAGATCGGGCTGCTCTGTGCAAAAACCTTTGCACAGGAGCAGGTAAGTATGACCTTTTTTTTTTTTAAAATAACAAAACATGCCTTTAATATCACTTTAATATGTAACATGGTCACATTCTCCAGCACCCCACCCTCAAACTGCCCCTTTTCTTACCCGATCTGTGGGATGTTTTCTCCCTGCAGACATCTGTTGCAATTTGAATTTAAATGTGGCTGTGTCTACCCGCACAGCTGCATCTTCTAATCACAGGATCTGCCACCACAGCAGAGGAACTAATACAGCACACTGGAGCACAAGTACAGTGACACCATCACACTTGTAGTCCACTGTTTAGTTCCTCCAAACCCATAACAAAAGGTCTGTAAGTGGTAATAAACAGTGCAAGGACCGATGCATTTCCGCCAACTACGCACTGGTCGCGGCTCCAATGCTCTGTAGCCTTGAATGCAAACACTTAATAAATGTGACATTTTTGTATTAATGTGGGTGGAACTATTACAATTTTGCAAAGGTGGACTAGGCCTTTAAAATACAATATTTTCTATGTGCACTGGCATATAATTACTGAGCATGTCATTCTGTAACATTATCACAATTTAATAGATACAACTTGTCTCTTATCAGTGCCAACATTTCCATTCACAGCTGTGTGCTACTGTGAGTTGTGTACTGCTGTAAGGTTTGGCACCACCTAGGATAAGTCTTACCCCAACACACTATATATATATATATATAAAAATAAATAACATACACAAGAACCCTTCCCAGTGTAGAAACAGCAGATCTTTAGCTGCAGACACACACCTTTGTGATGGAGGTAAAGACTTTTTCTAGGATGGAATTTGGTTGTGCTCTGCGTGGCCCATTCCCTTGAAGACCCAGTCGAAGCGCACATGGTCTAGCGATAAACCTAGAAAAAGATTTGAATATGTAGTCAAAAATCTAAAACATCAATATTCAAAACAGGCAAAATAATACTACTATAAGCTATAACATGCAGTTTCTCAAACAGATGGATTCACTGCCTAATCTTCAGGGCCGTCTTGTTTGGAAGACATAGGTTTAGCAGCACAGATTTGGTAAATCCAGTACTTCAGGGATTAGGATTAGGGTTGTCATATAGAAGGTTAACTTTAAGGGTTAGATCTTTGCAGTCTATTTTTAAATCAGTGAATCTGACTTTCACCAAACATACCCTGGGAGAGAATCACTCATTTAAAAACACAGACCTAGAAGATTCTCCAGCAGAGAATGTGTATTGAATGTCAGCTACACTGCTTTATAGATATGTTCCTTTGTGTTAAGTCATAGGGTTAAGCAAATATTCATTCTAATTTTGTTCCCAACAGATACATATTAGTACTATTAGGCCCCATTCACACTTGCGAAAAGGGCTATGAGCGATTACATGTGGGAACACCACTGGGCATTCCTGGCAATTAGCTGAGGGAGAAGGCCCCACTGAAAGCAATAGGAGGCTGACAGCTCCAGCAGCGAATTGAGGCCGATAACACCTAGCAGCGATTACCTGCAAATGATCAGTCCTTGACAGCACCCAGGGATGATCATTCATGGGTAATTGTTGCTTGAACATGCAAATCGGTCACAATTAGCTGCAAGAGCTGTCAACCTCCCATTGCTTTCAATGGGCTTCCTCCCGCAGCTAATTGCCAGGAACCTCTGCTGGGGTTGCCACATGTAATTGCACATGGCCCAAATCGCAAATGTGAACAGGGCCCATATATAGCCATTTAGAAAGGTAGATGGGGCTCCTGATCTAATCAGCTGACAATGCATTCTTCTGCAAGGTCTGCAAATCAATGTCTCATCTACTAGAAAACCAAGCAGTATATTCTTGGTCAGCTGGGGAGGGGAAATGTATTTTTTATTAGCAGTTCCTAGAGTTCTACTTTAAAGACAATTGCATGTACAGTATGTAATTTTTTCATTTTTTTCTTTTAGGTGTTAACTGATGCCAAAAGCAAATATACACCGCTTGTCAGAAAAGAATCTAGACAAAATTGTGTCTCTGTAGTCATTACAATCTTTTGCTAGTTCAAGGATTCTGGGGTGCTCGAAACGATACCTCGCGGGAGCCTACAGGTGTCAGCACCCAAAGTTATTATTAAGGCCACCCTTACAGCTTAGTCTGCTTCTGTAATAGACACCAAATACTCCACAAATATTCTACAAGGTAAATAAAGTTGAAAACTGATTAGGCACAGTTTTACAGAGAACTCTTTATAGAATCGCTGAATGAAGACAAAAGCAAACTTTTTAAAGACCTGTCATGCAGCACCAGAAAAATTCACAGTGACGATACTTTGTACATGGTCCTTCATTGGTTATTCAGATTGTACATGATAAAACAAAAAGGAGATGCAAAAGTTCTCCTAACATGAAAATGAATGGCATATTATAAATTGTATGACATCTATAGTGTGTGCTTACTATGGCAACTTATTGGCTGTTGAAGCCATGCACAAAAATACAGACTATATCCCTTCCAGCTCCTGTTAAGAGCAGATCACAAACATTAAAGGATAACTTCAAATAAAAAATAAAGAAATCATAAATGACCTTTTTTGGCATGTAAAAAAAAAAAAAAAAAAAAAAAAAAAAAAAAACGTACATTCACATGCAGGACTCCTAAAAACTGTCAAGTGTACTGTATCTGCTTGCCGGTACATTCCATATGGGCATGTAGGTACAGTCTGGACAGGAAGACTAAATGACTTACCAAAGGATTCAAAAGCACCGTGGTAGTTCATTGAGAACTACAAGCCGACAGCAGAAAAAGCTGTCAGGACATGTAGTCATTCACAGAACTCGGTAAAAGAATGATGTGGCCTTGTGGGCAGAGACCAGCATGGCTGCGCTGTTTTAAAAAAAACTGACAGCTAGTATCAGGAACTTCTCTCTGTACTGCTGTCACAGGGAGGGAGGGGGGAATCAGGCAGCGGCTGCAGCATTGGGCACATGTAACATGTTACACCTTAAAAACAGGTGAAACATGCAACATGTTCCCAGAGGTGAACTTATCCTTTCAAGTTCTAATGATATGAAAGTGGGATGAAAGCTTCCATTCACTAGATTGCATATTCATCCTCCTACAGTCTCCTCCTTTTAAAATGAAGAGAACAAGTAGTAGTAGTTTAGACTTTCATCAGACCGCAATGCGCCACGTGTTGGGTTAAGCTGGCCATAAATAAAATCGCTCAAAATTTCATTTGAAATGCCCAATCATTCGACTTTCTAAATTCTAACGGACTCATATCAATTCTCAAAATGCAAAGATCTATGACAAAAAAAAAAAAAAAAACACAAACAAAAAAATTATTATGTTGGAATTTGTTTTAGAATAAGCAAACAGTTTTCAAAACATGAGTAGCGGAATCGATCAAGAATAACACAATAAATGTAGTCACAAGCGTTTACCCTGTAACTGACAAAAAATCCTTATGTTGTGCATGAATGACAATATGTCTACAAATGGGGGAAAAAAGTCATATTGACCATGGTGTTATGACACACTCATTCAGAAGATCATTATTGATCAATACGCACAAATTTTCAAATGATTTTCTACTCATCTATGGCCAGCCTTAGACTGCAGAGCTGGCATTCAAAATCAATGGCACTGGTGTGGACGGACCTTAATTTTTCCTTTGTATGTTCCTGTCCAGAGACCTGGAACACTGCTCTTTTAATATGAATCAGGCTGTTAAAAGACAGGCTGATAGCTAGCGACCTTACAGTAAAACCCTCATGAGAGAAACAAGGAGTCTGCCACTTCTGATCTCTCCTTCTGAAAATGCCAATTGCCTGACTGTCAAGCTGACAAGCTTCCATCAATACTTTATGCCACTGAACCCAAACAAGCAAACAGATAAAGACTACAGTAGCCAACAAGTCATGGAGTGGCATATTTTACAACTAGCGCCTTTTGGCACGCTTCTACGTCTCAATGGTGGTACGACTTTCTACTTGTATAAAGTAACCCATTTTGACAGGTACCAGATTTCCACTTCTGCTGCGATTGCCTAGGTGGTCGGAAGAAGAAGTTGTCCTGCCCATAGTCTTTTGGGACATGTGACCGGTCCCAGAAGATTACAGGACCATTCACAAGGAGTAGCGCTACTTGCACATGCGCAGTGGGCACCCGGCTGTGAAGACGCAAGCTGTCACAGGCAGGTGCCCACACTTGAGATGCTGGCACCAGGGAGAGAGAACAGTTAGTGAAACCAGCTGTGGTGAGGACATCGCTGGATTGAGGGACAGGTGAGAGTCGGTTTTTTAAAAGTCAGCAGCTACAGTTTCTTTGGCTGCTGACCTTTATTTTTTTACATTTTGACTGGAGCTCCACATTAAGTCTGAGCCTTGTGCTTCTTACAGCTGTGTGCTTCATTAAAAAGGTAACCTGTAAAGTAACTAAAAGTATATTTAAAATCAGTGGTGCACCGAAATTCTGCTGCCGAAATAGATACCGAAAATTCAGAATGCATGTGGCCAAAAACCGAACCAAAATGTCTGCGTATGTGGGGAGGCTTCAATTTGTTTTTGTATTGTTTTCTACTTTCATGTTATATTTTTATTTCTCTTTCTTTTAACTTATGATTTTATTGCACCACCTGCCTGGAGTTTGCATGTTCTCCCTGTGTCTGCGTGGGTTTCCTCCGGGTACTCCGGTTTCCTCCCAGACTCCAAAGACATGCTGGTAGGTGAATTGGCTCCTGTCTAAATTGTCCCTAGTATGTGTATGTATGAATGTAAGTTAGGGACCTTAGATGGTACACCCCTTGAGGGTTAGGGACTGATGTGAATGTACAATATATATGTAAAGCACTGCGTAAATTGACGGCGCTATATAAGTACCTGAAATAAAAATAAAATAAAAATAAATATTGCCATCACATAGGGGACCAATAGTCCCCTATGTGATATATTATGAGTGACAGGTCCTCTTTGTAGGGGGGGGGGCAGTGTGTGCAAGGAGGGGGCAGAAGAGGAGCAGTGTATGCAGTGAGGGAGCAGTGTATACAGAGAGGTTCCCTCACTGGCCGTCACTATAATTCGGTGCCGGCTTTTTTTTTCTCTTCACTACAGCTCACAGAATTAGCTTTCACTTTCCCTCGGGAAGGAAACTAAAAGGAAACTTTGTTTCTTTGAGCTGTAGGGGAAAGTGAAAGCTCATTTTGTGAGCTATAGCAAAGGAAAAAAAAAAAGCCAGTAATTACATTTAAAAACCAGAACTGACATATAGGGGTTTATTTACTAAAGCAGGAGAGCGCAAAATCAGACTTGCTTCTGCATAGAAACCAATCAGCTTCCAGGTTTTATTGCCAAAGCTTCATTGAACAAGCTGAAGTTAGTTGATTGGTTTCTATACAGATGTGAGCCTGATTTTGCACTCTCCAGCTTTAGTAAATAAACCCCTCAGTGACAGCTAGTCATTGTATACAATCCTCCTCTCCTGCCTTCCTCAGCTGCCCCCTCCTCTCATCTGCAGTACACACAGTCCCCTGTATCAGCACCTGTATCAGCTAAATGTTTCCTATCTGCAAAATGCCTATAGGGCTATCTTCGGCAGATATGTTTCGGTGGCCAAAATTTCGATGCATCCCTATTTAAAATGCTTTTGGGGAAGCCAATGTAATTGTTCAGGGCTTTTAGCCAGTAATGGCACCCCTGTATTTCTTTTACAACAGGGTTACTTGTTCTAAAAAAGCAGCAATCTCCAAAACTGTGGCCCACAGGCCATATGCTGCCCTTTATCCGACCCTTGGAGCACCATTCCTCCCAATGATACAAAGCACAATTTCTCCCACTGACACCAACAACGAGGCACCATTCCTTCCACTGACACCAACAGTGGCATATAATTCTGCCATTTCCACTGACAACCAACAGTGGGGAACAAATTCTCTGATTGACACTAATGATAGGGCACAGTTCCTCTCACGGATACCAATGATGGGGCACTGTTCCTCCAACAGACACCAATGATGGGGCACTGTTCCTCCAACTGACACCAATGATGGGGCACTATTCCTCCAACTGACACCAATGATGGGGCACTGTTCCTCCAACTGACACCAATGATGGGGCACTGTTCCTCCAACAGACACCAATGATGGGGCACTATTCCTCCCACTGATACCAATGATGGGGCACTGTTCCTCCCACTGACACCAATGATGGGGCACTGTTCCTCCAACTGACACCAATGATGGGGCACTGTTCCTCCTCCAACTGACACCAATGATGGGGCACTGTTCCTCCAACTGACACCAATGATGGGGCACTGTTCCTCCAACTGACACCAATGATGGGGCACTGTTCCTCCAACTGACACCAATGATGGGGCACTGTTCCTCCAACTGACACCAATGATGGGGCACTGTTCCTCCAACTGACACCAATGATGGGGCACTGTTTCTCCAACTGACACCAATGATGGGGCACTGTTCCTCCAACAGACACCAATGATGGGGCACTGTTCCTCCAACTGACACCAATGATGGTGCAATAGTCCTCCCAGACACCATCGATAGGGTGCTATTTCTAATATCGATTAGGGGGTACTATACCTCTTCCCACTGACTACTGTTATGTAATTTTATTACTCCCAAGCCTGAGGAATTGTTGCTCCCACTGACGCTGGGGTATTTTCTACTTTCACTGGCCACAGTCCAGCCCCGCTAAAGTCTGAAGGACAATAAACTGGCCCTCTGTTTAGAAAGTTTGGAGACCCCTGTTCTAAAGATCCAACAATCAAACATTCAACACCCCATCCCCCTCTCACTTACGACCAGAGATGCATCTATATTATTCAACATATTTGGGATCTGACCTCTACCAAGTGCTCATTAACACAACTTCCAGTTTCTTTCTGGTAGTTACCACACGAAACCCAATACTCCAATCAAAGACTAGTTGTACTAATCAGTTTTCATTTTGAAAGAGTGTATTCTAACCTATAGACCACATGCATAGTTATTTCAGGACAATGTGGTCTTGTGTGCCAGCCATATGTCTTGTGCATTCACACTGCTGATAGAGAACAGAGCAGCATATCATTTACAAGTGAAATGTACACTTATAAAACACAAAAGTCTGTTAAGTATATTGAAAAGAAACAAAGGGAAAGAAAGGATCCCTTTCACTGACATGAGTCCAGAAGAATGGTCAAAGAATGTATAGAGGTAGTGATCGCTCAAGTGTGGTGGTCCACACTATAAAGGGGAAGCCAATTTGAGACACAAACTATCAGTGACTTTATTTCATGATGGTCCTCATTAAATTGGAAGTATATCTAAAACTTTTGTTCTAGAGCAGTGATTTCCAAACAGTGGCCCATGGGTCAGATGTAGGGCCTTTTGCTTTTTGTTATCCAGCTCGAGGCAGTGTCCTTCCACTGAAATGAGGCACTATTCCCCCCTCCGACACCACCGATGGGGCACTATTCCCCCCTCCGACACCACCGATGGGGCACTATTCCCCCCTCCGACACCAACGATGGGGCACTATTCCCCCCTCCGACACCACCGATGGGGCACTATTCCCCCCTCCGACACCACCGATGGGGCACTATTCCCCCCTCCGACACCACCGATGGGGCACTATTCCCCCCTCCGACACCAACGATGGGGCACTATTCCCCCCTCCGACACCAACGATGGGGCACTATTCCCCCCTCCGACACCAACGATGGGGCACTATTCCCCCCTCCGACACCAACGATGGGGCACTATTCCCCCCTCCGACACCAACGATGGGGCACTATTCCCCCCTCCGACACCAACAATGGGGCACTATTCCCCCCTCCGACACCAACAATGGGGCACTATTCCCCCCTCCGACACCAACAACGGGGCACTATTCCCCCTTTGATTTCTACTGCCCACCAAGCCAGGGGCACTGTTTACTTCACCGATGCTGGGATATTTTCTACCCCCACTTGTGTACCATTCTGTCCAGCCCCCCTAAAGTCTGAAGAACAGTGAACAGGCCCTTTGTTTAGAACGTTTGCACACCCCTGTTCTAGACAGAAAGGGAAATTATTAGAAACTCTGCTGGGTTTTCACTGCTGTCTGCTAGGCAGAGGGAACTGTATAGAAGTGTGTGTTGGAGGAGGGAGAATCTCTTCAGAAGGGATGGAGACAACGGGAAACACCCTACAGGGGTTTTAACTAATCAAGCATTTTTATATTTGTATGTATCCCCGTGTGAGTTTATTCACGTGCAGTCTTGGTGACCACTATAATTGGGGTAGAAAAACTAGGGAAATCTTCAATGGTGAATCTAAGCGCTATAAAATCTGACAGAGCTGCTAACCATTTCCACACTATTCGCACTCTCTCGCCTCTACAAATGTCTGAGAACTATGTCAGCAATAGAAGTTCCTTGATTAAAATTGACAGAATTAAAGGGGTTGCCCTCTTTCAGTATATGCCAGTTGCCAGGCTGTAAGGATGACCCCAGGCCTCCTGCACATGACTGTTTAGCTGCATACGCAAAACTCCAGTGGCAAGAATCAGATGCGTCCAGTCTTGGACACCCATTCCAACCACATGTAGCCGCTTAGTGTACAGCTACATGTGTACAGCGACAGCTGCTGTCAGCCTTTCAAATTGTACAGGCTGAGCAGAACTGCTATTCACAAGCATTCATCATTCCAGCCACAAAAATCCCCAGATTCTTGCTGTGGAATCCGACGTATACAGCTAAATGGCCGTGTGAAGGAGCTTTAATATTTTCAGGGTCACAACATGACCCAAATACCCACAAAATGACAGTCCTGATCTACAATGCTTGCTCTGGGTCAGTGACTCAAAATTCTAACTCAAAAAGGTCAGCGGGGGGGTAGTAAGGCAACAGTAGGCTTACGTTAAAGAGACATACAAAAAAAGAGGGTTGTGAAAAGAGATTCACAGAAAAGCGGCTACATAATGAACAGAACGTGACACTCAGGAAATAATTTCCAAAAATTATGCTTTATTACACATATATATAGATATGACATATGGGCATTTGCCCTGGTTTACCATCACCTCAGTATGAGACAATACACACAGACCTAAAACCATTTAAAATGACACCAGAACCGGTCTAAATGTGTGTGTACAGCAGGGAAAATGGCTACATGAGTCTAGTGTCCCTGTAGCACAAACACATAGGTGAACACTTCCCTAGGGAGGTGTATCCAAAAATTATGCCATGGGCATACCAAAATGGAGGATATAAGGGATTAAGCAGTAACCATTATGGCAAATCCCTATCAAGGAATCCAAAAATTATGCTATAATGTGTATATCACATGTATGCAATTGAGCAAGCACAATATGCGTCAAAAAGGAGAGTAGCAGGCCTCAGGCCTGTATGAAGAAAGACATAAATGTCAAATATATTATACAATACATTCCTGTGCCGGCACAAGTGGTTGGGGCCCATTCATCTGTAATATAGATAGCTGTTTCCTAAAGCTCTTAGATGGAAATATGCCCCATTTATTTCCAGGATGGAGGAAAAGATGCACACAGCAGCATTCTGCTTGAAATGGTTTCTTCACCACTGCATGTGGACTATACACCTCTTTTTGTAGGAAAAGATACGACACATCCCAAAGACTCTTCTGCCTGTTGAGATATATATGATGGTATATCTTGTTTCCTATACATAGCACCATGATGTCCCCATCCTGTAGTGAAACAAACAATATGTGGGAAGTCACTGACAGAGCTAACACTCTATGGAAGGTATATAGGTCATATAGATCACAGAGGACCATATATCTAATGTCCTGTAACGATCCACTCACCACCTGTGCTATGGATAACAGGAATGAAAGAAAAGTCCTTCATAGGTACTGCCATACAGGGCCAAGGCGGCCAAGGAACCACCGCTGACATCCGCCGATATATATACCGCGGGTTCCAGCCCCTTCTCGGCGCTTGTGATGCTTAAGCTTGCCTCATGGCTTCCTCCCTATGGGTCAGCGTGCGTTCCACCTAGTGCGCATGACCGGAAGTGACGTATCTGACGTATTTCCATCCTGGAAATAAATGGGGCATATTTCCATCTAAGAGCTTTAGGAAACAGCTATCTATATTACAGATGAATGGGCCCCAACCACTTGTGCCGGCACAGGAATGTATTGTATAATATATTTGACATTTATGTCTTTCTTCATACAGGCCTGAGGCCTGCTACTCTCCTTTTTGACGCATATTGTGCTTGCTCAATTGCATACATGTGATATACACATTATAGCATAATTTTTGGATTCCTTGATAGGGATTTGCCATAATGGTTACTGCTTAATCCCTTATATCCTCCATTTTGGTATGCCCATGGCATAATTTTTGGATACACCTCCCTAGGGAAGTGTTCACCTATGTGTTTGTGCTACAGGGACACTAGACTCATGTAGCCATTTTCCCTGCTGTACACACACATTTAGACCGGTTCTGGTGTCATTTTAAATGGTTTTAGGTCTGTGTGTATTGTCTCATACTGAGGTGATGGTAAACCAGGGCAAATGCCCATATGTCATATCTATATATGTGTAATAAAGCATAATTTTTGGAAATTATTTCCTGAGTGTCACATTCTGTTCATTATGTAGCCGCTTTTCTGTGAATCTCTTTTCACAACCCTCTTTTTTGGTATGCCTCTTTTGGCTACTGAATGGAGACCATACATTGGGTGACACGCTAATTTATCCAATAACCTCTTAAATAATTATCTTAGTTCACGTTAAAGAGACCCTGTCATTCTAAAAAAAAAACAAAATATGCTGCAGATAGAAAGTCCAAGCACCTAGATTATACACAAACTTGGCTAAAAGTATGTGGACACCTTCATAAGGACTTCAGAGCTGCTGGAATTGTCCAGATTGGACAGTATTTAGGAGAATGGTCTGTATACCTTATCCAGAGAACAAGAAGCACAACATGACAATGGGACCTGTTTTTTTGTTTTTTAATGAAGTAGTAGTAGTAGCAGTAGTAGTTTGCCATCATGGTCTCAAGCCCAAGTATTCGGTATAATGGCCCCTACAAACACTCCTCCACCTATTCCAGCAGAAATGCCAGCAGGTAAATCCCTAAAACCAAGCAGCCATGGAGTAGAATATTTTACTACTAGCGCCTAATATTTCAGGCAAACTTCCACATCTCAGAGGCAGTACTTTGTATAAAAGGTCACTCTCCATATACCCAAGCTTGCCCCATATACCTAAGCCCTGAGCC